TCTTGGCAGCTTCATATGCAGCGGCAGAGTGGCCCAGATTCTCTACTGCTCTCAATGCGTCGCCTGCCAGGTACTCCCGCAGCTGCAGCATTTTGTATTCGGCTGTCAGCGGAGCTTGATCAATGCATGCCAGAAATGCTGCTTTCCAGCTTGGGAACTGCTTCTTGTCCCCACGGAATACTGGAATCGATACTCGCTTAAGCTGCCTCCACAGGTCCTGGCCGACAGCTGCCTTGCCGATTGTGGTGGCTGTGGTGGTGCTGGTAGTGCCGGCTGCGCTACTGCGGACATGCGCACTGCTGGCAGTGCCGGCTGCGCTACTGCGGACATGCGCACTGCTGGCAGTGCCGGCTGCGCTACTGCGGACATGCGCACTGCTGGCAGTGCCGGCTGCGCTACTGCGGACATGCGCACTGCTGGCAGTGCCGGCTGCGCTACTGCGGACATGCGCACTGCTGGCAGTGCCGGCTGCGCTACTGCGGACATGCGCACTGCTGGCAGTGCCGGCTGCGCTACTGCGGACATGCGCACTGCTGGCAGTGCCGGCTGCGCTACTGCGGACATGCGCACTGCTGGCAGTGCCGGCTGCGCTACTGCGGACATGCGCTGTGCTGGCAGTGCCAGCTGCGCTACTGCGGACATGCGCACTGCTGGCAGTGCCGGCTGCGCTACTGCGGACATGCGCACTGCTGGCAGTGCCGGCTGCGCTACTGCGGACATGCGCACTGCTGGCAGTGCCGGCTGCGCTACTGCGGACATGCGCACTGCTGGCAGTGCCGGCTGCGCTACTGCGGACATGCGCACTGCTGGCAGTGCCGGCTGCGCTACTGCGGACATGCGCACTGCTGGCAGTGCCGGCTGCGCTACTGCGGACATGCGCACTGCTGGCAGTGCCTACTGCGCTACTGCGGACATGCGCACTGCTGGCAGTGCCGGCTGCGCTACTGCGGACATGCGCACTGCTGGCAGTGCCGGCTGCGCTACTGCGGACATGCGCACTGCTGGCAGTGCCGGCTGCGCTACTGCGGACATGCGCACTGCTGGCAGTGCCGGCTGCGCTACTGCGGACATGCGCACTGCTGGCAGTGCCGGCTGCGCTACTGCGGACATGCGCACTGCTGGCAGTGCCGGCTGCGCTACTGCGGACATGCGCACTGCTGGCAGTGCCGGCTGCGCTACTGCGGACATGCGCACTGCTGGCAGTGCCGGCTGCGCTACTGCGGACATGCGCACTGCTGGCAGTGCCGGCTGCGCTACTGCGGACATGCGCACTGCTGGCAGTGCCGGCTGCGCTACTGCGGACATGCGCACTGCTGGCAGTGCCGGCTGCGCTACTGCGGACATGCGCACTGCTGGCAGTGCCGGCTGCGCTACTGCGGACATGCGCACTGCTGGCAGTGCCGGCTGCGCTACTGCGGACATGCGCACTGCTGGCAGTGCCGGCTGCGCTACTGCGGACATGCGCACTGCTGGCAGTGCCGGCTGCGCTACTGCGGACATGCGCACTGCTGGCAGTGCCGGCTGCGCTACTGCGGACATGCGCACTGCTGGCAGTGCCGGCTGCGCTACTGCGGACATGCGCACTGCTGGCAGTGCCGGCTGCGCTACTGCGGACATGCGCACTGCTGGCAGTGCCGGCTGCGCTACTGCGGACATGCGCACTGCTGGCAGTGCCGGCTGCGCTACTGCGGACATGCGCACTGCTGGCAGTGCCGGCTGCGCTACTGCGGACATGCGCACTGCTGGCAGTGCCGGCTGCGCTACTGCGGACATGCGCACTGCTGGCAGTGCCGGCTGCGCTACTGCGGACATGCGCACTGCTGGCAGTGCCGGCTGCGCTACTGCGGACATGCGCACTGCTGGCAGTGCCGGCTGCGCTACTGCGGACATGCGCACTGCTGGCAGTGCCGGCTGCGCTACTGCGGACATGCGCACTGCTGGCAGTGCCGGCTGCGCTACTGCGGACATGCGCACTGCTGGCAGTGCCGGCTGCGCTACTGCGGACATGCGCACTGCTGGCAGTGCCGGCTGCGCTACTGCGGACATGCGCACTGCTGGCAGTGCCGGCTGCGCTACTGCGGACATGCGCACTGCTGGCAGTGCCGGCTGCGCTACTGCGGACATGCGCACTGCTGGCAGTGCCGGCTGCGCTACTGCGGACATGCGCACTGCTGGCAGTGCCGGCTGCGCTACTGCGGACATGCGCACTGCTTGCAGTGCCGGCTGCGCTACTGCGGACATGCGCACTGCTGGCAGTGCCGGCTGCGCTACTGCGGACATGCGCACTGCTGGCAGTGCCGGCTGCGCTACTGCGGACATGCGCACTGCTGGCAGTGCCGGCTGCGCTACTGCGGACATGCGCACTGCTGGCAGTGCCGGCTGCGCTACTGCGGACATGCGCACTGCTGGCAGTGCCGGCTGCGCTACTGCGGACATGCGCACTGCTGGCAGTGCCGGCTGCGCTACTGCGGACATGCGCACTGCTGGCAGTGCCGGCTGCGCTACTGCGGACATGCGCACTGCTGGCAGTGCCGGCTGCGCTACTGCGGACATGCGCACTGCTGGCAGTGCCGGCTGCGCTACTGCGGACATGCGCACTGCTGGCAGTGCCGGCTGCGCTACTGCGGACATGCGCACTGCTGGCAGTGCCGGCTGCGCTACTGCGGACATGCGCACTGCTGGCAGTGCCGGCTGCGCTACTGCGGACATGCGCACTGCTGGCAGTGCCGGCTGCGCTACTGCGGACATGCGCACTGCTGGCAGTGCCGGCTGCGCTACTGCGGACATGCGCACTGCTGGCAGTGCCGGCTGCGCTACTGCGGACATGCGCACTGCTGGCAGAGCTGGTCTACTACTAGTAGTACTGAGTGCTACCCTTGCACTACTGCTCCTTGTATCTGTACTGCTGGATATTCCGGTATGTGCATGAGTGTACAGTGGTGCACTTACTGGGACAGGTACATGACGTGGACTGGTTCCATCCCCTGTGCTGCTGGTGGTCATACTGACTGATGAGCTAGCAGTGACAGCTCCGGTCTGGCTAGTCTGGGTCACTGATGACTGGCTGGCAGTAGTACTCAGTGCAGGATCTAACTGCTTACTTGGTTGACCAGGTTGCCACTGTTCCTGGTGTACAGTCTCAGCTGCTGCACTAAAACCTCTCCTGATACCAGTACTGCTAGTATCTGATTCCAGTGCTTGCTGACTATCTGAGTCAGCTGGAGTGTCCTTTTCTTCCTGAGACTGGGTAACACTTGGCATGAAAGGCTGGGCTGTGGCATCCACACTATTACTAGTACTACTGCTCGTCCTTTCCACAGAGTCCTGGCCCGCTGCACGTTCAGGCTCTTTATTAACCTGCGACTCCAGCTGGCTCGCGAACTGGTCGAAGCGATCGGTCGTCGCTCTCGTTTCTTGATTCAAGTCTTCCATCTCGTCGTGTACCTTCGATACGGCTTTGATATTATTAGCTCCCAAGTACAGTTCCTCCATGTCGGTCAGCAATGCAAATATTTCTTGCTCGACATTCTCAAGATACCAGAGCTGCTGGTCCGACGCTTCCATCGTACCGCCCTCTCGCATTATAACCAACAACCCTCGTCGGCTGTTTGTAAATTCTCTTTTTGCTGTTTGCTTTTTGCTTTTCAATTGCATCAAATGGCCTTCGACATTTTCAGGTGGTACAATTGACTTGCCAGGAGGTACACCGCTGGAAGCCGTATGCTTCTTGCTTTCCGGTGGGTCCTGTTCCACCTCCGCTTCATGTGGGCTGATCGAGCTGCTCTCCTCGACATCGCTACTCGTACGCTCTGACATTTTCGACTTACAAACTGCTAATTTCTAATATTGTTCGAACCATCCTCTGCTACCATCTGTTCCGAATATGAACTGCGTGGCGGAATCACGCTTATGCTATTTCTAGTAGTTCTACGACAAACTCCAAACGACTTTCTTTCTTCCATTTCACTCTGTTTCTCTCTCACGACAACTCCCCCAAGCAGGGAGAAACAGCAAATACAAAAGCAAAGAAAAGCGCCGCGCGTACGGCACATGCAGGGCGATATGCGCAACCTACGACAAATTAGCAGCAGCGCTGGTACAACAGAAATGTACAAACGCCGGAAACGTAAAGGTCATGAACCCGTGCGACCCCCTGTCGGCTGGGACAGGATGACTACATGTACAGCTATAAACGTACTCATATCGAGCCAAGAAAGATACGCGACAGATACAACTCAAGCATATAGAAACAAGAAATAATTAGTGCACTGCAAGTGCCAGCGTAATCTGGCATAATGGCAAATATTGCATAGTAGTGAAGGTGAGTCCTGAACAAGTGCTTAGCAACCCAGGAGTGCTTAGCCACCCAGGAGTGCTTAGCCACCCAGGAGTGCTTAGCCACCCAGGATTGCTTAGCCACCCAGGAGTACTTAGCCACCCAAGAGCTCTTAAAACCACCCAAGAGGGCACAACTTTATAGACACCGTCACACGGTCCTTGATGGCATAGTTCACATCACCTGGTCCACAGCTACTGCAGTTATGTGGTGTATTCGTGCAGATGCAACGGGGGTCATTGTGCACATAGTCCAGGGTTTGCTGATTTGTTGAAGATGTTCTCCCCCTTCCACCAGAGATTGCTTTCATTTCGCTGCTTTTTTTGTTCACTATTACCCCTGGATATGTACGAAAGGCGATGAGAAAGTGTTCGACCTGGCCCAAAAGAAACCGTATATCACTGGTTTCTTGTTTCTAATTGTCACAATATCCACACTGCAAGTGAATGTATTTCACTCAACAATGGCTCGAGTGTCATCAATCCACCTCGGTAGAAGGTTTTCATCTAGCCAGTCTAGCACATGGTGAGACTTCTCAATCTAAAATGGCCAAATGCATTGCAATTACAGCTTCACACTCTTGCAACAGGGTATGATGTATCTTGGCAACAGAAGTAGTGCTAGAAGCAAAAGGGTAAGACAAACCAATCACTAATAAGCTTACTTGAACACGGTGGTTGCGATTATCAGTGACCAGGACGTGTCCATGCCTATCCTCGGCAATGTACTTAGGATAGTTGAACTGACCATCTGACTCTCCCCTTGATCCGAACATGGTAATGAAGTTTCCATCAGTAGTGAAAACCTGCATGAAAACGAAATGTATTTAAAACTCTACAATGTGATGACTATGTCCTTCAAGAGTTCAATACTGTGTACAGGTCCTCCCTCGTTACTACATAATCTATGGCAAGTTGGGACATAGAACAAGTCTTTTAACGAGACTTATCTTATTAATACACATCCACGCACACGCACACATACACACACACACACACATACACACAAACGCACTCACATACAAACACACAAACACACACACACGTACAGTACTCACTGGATTAAAAGCCGGGGCTTGTATTTTTCAATACCAATTTTGACGAGGCTTATATTCAAGAGGGGCTTCTATTCGAGAGGGGCTTCTATTCGAGAGGGGCTTCTAATCGAGTGAGTACGGTACGCGCAATCACACACTTACATACGTGTGTGAGCCCCCCCCCCCCCCCTACACACACTGAGACTCCAACTCCGACATGTCCATCGTGTGAGCGATGATCGTGAACGGCTATGTTAGACATAACAACTTGTGCAGGCATTACACCATTCAGCAGTCTGCAAGGCTGATGAATTGACCGCCACTAATCCTGGTCTACACCACACAGCTGATTGAAGTAGCTTTTTCTGTCCAGTGAACCCCTTTTTTGCTTTTTTTGCTTTTTTCATACACACACCACACCACATGTTCTGGCATGCACTGTCTATTGGTAACCACACAGGAGAATGAACGAAGAGCTAGGTAAGTGAGAAAGAGAAGAATGACATGTGTGACCATAATCGTCAGGAATTGAACCCGGAATCTTGTAGTGACCTGACTCCTATTACATCACTTCATACATAAGCATGCGCAAGAAATAAAATCATTCTCTTTGGCCTCAACTTCTTTGTTGTCCGGTTGGCCATTTAGCCGTCATCTAGGGCCCGACATAAACCCCTAAATCGGTGACCCCGACGTGATTTGAAACCACAACCTTCTGATACACAAGCATATGCAAGAAATAAAATCACTCTCTTTGGCCTCAACTTCTTTGTTGTCCGGTTGGCCATTGTAGCCATCGTCTAGGGCCCAGTTTTTATCCGGCCATCACCACCTCCACCATCCGTACCAGCTCAACAGTGCACGCACGTAGGTATACGCATAGCTCACAGGACTTACAAGTGGAGCTGTGCACGCCTCCATCAGTCCCCACCTCAACCGGCACACCTCGCCCCAATGCAGTGCTCCTGCTGGTACCCCGCCAAGCCTGTAACATGCAGCCGCCTCTGACATGATAACACTCCTCTGTTACGCGTACGTTTCCTCTTTTCTTTCTTTCTGCCTCTGCCATGCCCTCCACCTCTGTCACGTTAACACACCTCTGACACGCTAACCCGCCTCTGTCATGCATCTCTCTGTTTTCCACTTCCTGCTCTTTGACTTTTGTTTCGGTCTTTGTTGCCAAGTTGTCAACAAATTTCAAAAACACACATCGCTCTCTTGTGCATATTGTATTATATATTTTATTGCCTTTCCGGCTTGTACATGCCACACTTCCTTTCTCTCTCTTTTTCTTGTTTATCGTGCTTCACTCCCGACCTCACCAGTGGCAGGGGAGTACTGTAGCAACCTGACTCCTATTACGTCACTTCTTATGTATGCATGCGCAAGAAATTAAATCATTGTCTTTGGCCTCAACTACTTTGTTGTCGGGTTGGCCATTTTAGCGGTCGTCTAGGGCCCGATGTAAAACCTCTAAAACCTCACGATTGGAAATTGTCTGCACATACCACTGCACCATATGGCGCACGCACGCATGCGCACGCATGCGCGCACACCCACCCACACACACACTCACACACACTCTCTCTCTCTCTCACACACCCACACACACAGCAGGGGCGTCGGAAGGTAATTTTGTGTGATACACTCAGCCATCTGAAGTACAATTTACTCGTGGGGGAGGGTGGCCGAGCCGAAATTTTGGAAAATTAGAGCCCAAATCAGTACATTATCTTGATCCACGGGCGCTTTGGGCAAATAGTGGTACGGTCAGTACCGTAGTGACCGTACCATGTGCGACACCCCTTCACACACACACTACACACACACACACACACACACACACACACACACACACACACACACACACACACACACACACACATACACACACACACGCACGCACGCATGCACGCACGCATGTGCACACACGCACACACGCACACACACACACACACACACACACACACACACACACACATATACACACACACACACCTGGTCCTGGTCCTGGTAAACACTGCCATTACGGTCACGTGTCCCCTCGCGGGGCCGACAACATGGAAAACGACGCGCGAAGGCAGAAAGTCGGCAGTCTGCCGAGAGATCAGGGACCATGTTCAATCGGCACGACGAGAGAGCCATCTCCGGCAGCTATGGATTTGGAATCCACGAGTAGAGCGGCAGCACCGGCCACAGGCCCCACAGTGGGCCTTGCAGCATGAGAGAGCGAGCCGCACACGCGGCGGCGGAGGAGTCGCCTGAGCAGCAATGGCAGACACCGCCGCCCGGCACGGAGCCCGAGACGCACGTGCATGTGCACACACGTATGCACACGAACACACACACACACACATACACACACACACACACACAGACACACATACTCATACATGCCCATTGCGGAAGTGATGATAGTGAACAGCTATGTTAGACATAACAACTTTACCTGGGATTACACTATTCAACAGCTTGCAAGGCTGATGAATTGAACAACACTAATTTTTGGCCTGGTATCCACCACACAGCTGTTTTTGAAGTGGCTTTTTCTGGCCAGTGAATCCCTATTTTCCAATTTTCATTTTTCTTCTTCTTTTTTAATTTTTTTGACACACACTACACAACATAGTCTGGCATACACTGGCTGTTGGTAACCACCCAGGAGAATAAAAGAAGAGGTAGGAGAATGAGAAAGAGAAGAAAGTCGTGGGCGACCATAATCGTCGGGAATTGAACCCGCAACCTCTCGATTGGAAATCGACTGCGCAGACCCCTGCACCATATGGGACACACATATATACACACAGACACACACACACACACAGACACAGACACACACACACATTAACTACGAAACTTTGCACGTCGCCCACACGTTGAGTGACATGTTCAATGACACGTTAAGTGTACCGTCACTCGTGCATGCACAATGTTGTTTGGCCGGCATAGTCACCGTGAAGTGCAGTGCACGCGACCGTAGTCTGTAGCAAAGTATGAGAACACAGCAACAGCACTATCAAACATAGCAGCATAGCTTGAGCGGTAGCACGAAGCTGCGTGCACCCATTATTCTGCATTATCACTGCCGGAGCAGGATTTTGGCGGAGCCAAGAGAGGAGTCAGAGAGGGTTCACTGCGGAGCAGGATCTTGGCGGAACCAAGAGAGAGGTCACTGCCAGAGCAGGATTTTGGCTGAGCCAAGAGGATAGACAGGTCTGAGGGAGGGGACCGAAAAGTCCCTCTTTGGCTAGGCATTATTTGTTTGTGTATTGAGACAGCATGTGATAAAGAGGATACTGAGAAGAGTTCAAGCAACACAGATGTGAACACAGCCAATGTCTCGCAGTAAGACAATTATCTTGATGAGCTCCTTGCCGGTGTCCCGCATTCTACGCCAGAACATTGCTCGTGCAGCAAGGGGAGCTTGCCCAAATAGAAGGACGAACTTTGCTGCAGTGATCAGCTTGATCTTGGCGTCAGGCCGCTCCGCAGCTTTGGGAGCAAAGGTTGTGAAGGCATTCAACTTGGTCTGTACAGAGCATCAGCCACCGGCATTGGAGTTGACTGGCAAGTATGATGCTCTAAACAGTAAGTGTTGCTGGACACAGATAAGTAGAGGGTGCGGACGAGTGCAATGACCACAGGAGAACTAAACGGTGTGTGCCCACCTTCAATATGTTCACAAAGTCTGGTGCCACCAGCTCAGGTCATCCTTGGTTGAGGCTGAGAGGTGCAGCATTCTGTGGGATGATATCTCAGATGTGGCCTTGAAAAGGGCAGACAAGCAGCGTAGGGCAGATGGTGGGACGCGAATGTGAGTTGGCCTAGTAGGCAGGCGAGTTTGTGCTTGAGGACGCAACCCTTGTCGAGTGTGGCAGATACTAGATAGGTTGAGCGTTATACTGGAAAACCACATAGATAGTTGCACAAGAGTGGCCTAAGCATATCTGCTGGCGGACGGAATTCATGCAACACGTCAACAGCTGGCTGTACAATTTGGTTGGGATGTCAGTGTCATCTGCAACAGTACTAACCCTCATCCAAACTGGAGCAGACTGCAACACCACGGGCATAGGCCAGCCTGTGACTTACTTGGGTAGTGCAACTCAATAGTGACAAGTACTAGTACTTGATTGATTGATGCACTGTGCGTGCGTGTGTGTGTGTGTGTGTGTGTGTGTGTGCGTGTGTGTGTGTGTGTGTGTGTGTGTGTGTGCGTGTGCGTGTGCGTGTGCGTGTGCGTGTGCGTGTGTGTGTCAATTCTTCAGCCTTGCATACTGTTGCATGGTGCAATCCCAGCACAAGCTGCTATGGCTTCTGCTGTAGCATCGCTATCATCGACTCCGGCGATGGGCGTCCAATGGTCCAATGGTGTGTGTGTGCGTGTGCGTGTGTGTGTGAGGGGGGGGGGGGGTGGGGGGAGGGAGTTCTTTACCCCACCAATGACAGGTAGACCGACTAGTAGTAGTACTAGATTGATTGATGCCCGGGCTAGGGCTGTGCCTAGGTGCAGACTAAAGATGGGATGACCACTGTGTGTATGGTATCGAGACTCTGAGGGAGTGACAGATCTAGTTGTAATCTCTCCAACAAGGATGTATTGGCAACTATTGCAAAGAGGCGACGCCGAATCATTTTCGTCGTTCAGGTGTTTGAAATCATATCTTCGGCTTAACGGAACGAAACAAGTACCGCGTACCGGCATGAGATAATATCCATAAATGGATTTCCAGCTGCTGTGATCTCTGGGGAATCTCACCTGCTCGCAG